AATTGATTGTGCAGCACACTGTGGTGTTGCCTCTTTCAGGGAAATCCTCCATTGATTCAGTGCCGAGAACTCCGCGACGCACGGGGCGGCCCAGAACGGCGCCGAATTTCGGGCACTATCCAAACTCGCGGACCCCACAAACGCAATCTTGTGACGCCTCTTCTAGAATGACCATCATGGAACGAGTCCGCGACGTCCGATCACAAACCGAGAGCTCTATCGGTCGTTGATTGAAGTGCTTCGAGCATCCTATCCACTACTCGAGATTTCGTAGGAGTCGGAATCGTCTTACTTCCAAAGGTTCCGCAAGCCTGGATGGTGCTCAGAATTCCGCGCCGTTTTGGGCCGCGCCGTTTTGGCCGCGCCGTTGTGGGCCGCGCCGTTTTGGCCGCGCCGTTTTGGTCGCGCCGTTTTGGCCGCGCCGTTTTGGCCGCGCCGTTTTGGCCGCGCCGTTTTGTCGTAGACCCCTGCTACCGAGCGTAGCTTGCGCCTCCACTCGGGATCTTGTGATTCGTTCGAGTGAGTCTATTGGACCCACTCACACGCTTGAGATACGTCGCACGCCGACTATTTCAATCAAGTCAATTTAGACGAGCAGACCCGCTCCTATCGGGTCCGGGATCCTTTCTCTCTGGGAGACAGACTCGCAAGCGCTCAGATTTCCCACTCAGTCGACTGATCGATCCGCCGAGCGAGGGAAGAAATAAATATATCTATCCACCACGTTCATCCATAGCTGTGCCCTTCCGCGAGGGTCCGGTGTCTCATGGTTGACTGAATGCCAGCTGACTAAGACTTAGGTAAATATCCACCGCGCCTCAGTACACTGCATTGTCCTGTTTTCTTCCGAAAGATATAGGCCGGGCTCGTTCCTATTCCTCTGCTGTGCGGGCTCGTAGCCTTGATCGCACCCGTCATCTCGGAGAGTCATTCTCGACGGAATGAACCCGAATGTCACCACTCGCTTTGCGTCCCCTCCGGCTGCACGGAGATCTCAAACCGGAAGACACCTTGTTCGCCTCTTGTTATAGCGATCTTTGTGAGTTGTTGCAGCGTCGAGCAAAAGCAGATAAAAACAGCCGGAACAGGGAAAAGATTCCGGTGAAAGTGTGATCCCGACATTTGACATGCTCCTCAATGGAGTCGAACGCAACGATTTTTTCGAGGCTTTGACATTCGAGTTGATGCCTCCGGTTATGGAGGTATGGGGCACTTCTCCGTTACGGATAGGAGTCGTGTCTCTCTCGGACCTTGAAGCTCGACGAGAAGTCGGGGAGCGCAATAGTTTTATGGTCCTCCGTTTGGGAAAGTCGGTGATTTCAGACTCATTAGAGCTTAATCCGCCGAAGAAACAGCTGGTGAGGGTTACGCCTTCTGAAGGTCTTCGGATCAATAGTGAAAAATAAGGGAATTCGAGCACGTTGTCAGAGGAACATTTGTAGAACTCAGATCGGATGCTGGATTCTTTTCTTTTGCTACGGGTAAATTGATTCGCCAGAGCTTTCGCTGCCTGTCCACGTCAGCAGTTTTTGCTTCTTCGCACGAACCTCTTCTTCGTATTACCGAGCGGGTTGAGCGAAAAGGAGAAACTCCGGCCTCCGTCGGTCGTCGTCAGATCGTCATCATTTCCGTAGACCGCTGCGCGAAGCTTCCAATTCTGAACGAACGGCCTCTGGGAGAAGGCTCGGCTTGTTTCGTGAAGAAAACTGAAGAGACGAAAATATAAAAGAAACCCCGGAACAAAACGCCTCGGCGCCACGTTTCTGACATCGGATGTGAGGAGGAGAAAACGGTCGCTCTTGATTCCGGAGAGGAACAGAACTGACGAACTAGCGAGTTTTTCCGAAAATCGAGAGAGGAATGGAATCGGAGCCACAAGCCAGCCGATTCTCATCTGGGCGAATTCTCCCGCCAAGTGTCAGGAACGGGTCAATCTACGCAAGCGTATAAATTAGAGAACAAACTATTAGCGAGTGTGAAGATCAAGGTCGTGTCGTCGAGGCGGACTCCGGTCCTAACAAGCGGACGAACAAACTGTTGTTCGAGCCTTTTGTCTGCTCCGTTTTTTCCTCTTTCGAAAAAGAACTCGTCTTTCTGACTGCGACCGCCGCCTCTCTTGTCACAGCGAACGTGCGAAGAACATGCAATGAAGGGAGCACGCATTTGCCTGCTCCTCGGATGGAAGAGTCGATTTTCGGGTCCCCTGCTTTTTATTCCGATTGATTGCCAGCGACACCAAGCAAGCGTGGCCCGAGGCAATAGATTTCATCCTCCCCGAATATCTCGACCGTGCTCGCGCGCGACTCCCTGCGCGGCTCTGAGGTCCCGCAGTCGCTGCAGTGACTCTCTCAGTTAGATACTCACGTGTTCAAAGTATCTGGTCCGCCTACTATCCGTATGGAGTATTTCGTGAAGCACCTGCTTCGTCCATCATGTAACATGATATGCCCATCGGATCGTGGAGAGGGAAGGAGGCGAACGAGCTCAAACGAATATTTTCATCCAGCATTTGCGGATGGAAATCGCGGTCACGTCGTCATTCACGCTCGGCCAAGTTTCCCGATCAACATGGTCGAGAGGGCGCTCCGCCGAATCAACTGCATTCGAGGCTTTTATCCTTGCGCGATAGTTTAACGCGCGCGTTCTCGAAAATCGGCTCACTCCACAGTCTGAGACCCTGACGGGAGTCGGTTCGGTCCCCGATGATCTGGGTAAACCTCCGGGATGTGCGAACGATTGCCCTGAATAACAACCGAGCTGCCGGGGTGAGCCAAGCTCGCCTCAGGCATCAAAGGCTGGTATAGACAAAAGAATATTAAACCGTTCCGCAAGAGAACGTCATGAAAAATGGAAATTCCCTCGTTGACAGCGGAGGCTCGACGATGTCTCAAAACCTCACGGGCATAAGGTCGATTTAGAAATGACTCCGATTATACGCAGAAGCGAGATCCCGCTTGGGAGTAAGAGCGAAATTAATGATCAGGCATCTTCAAACATCTCACGGAGACGATGAGCCATGAACATAATATACTTCGGTGATGTCCGACGGGATTCCATGATATGCTACCTTTCGGCTCTCTTCGCAAGACCCGGCATGCAGTCTATTCAGGAATGACGAGCGACGGAGGCTTGGAAGACTTCAATTTCAATCCGATGTTTGCGGATCAGGCGAGTTCCCAACGCCGGTGATTTTTTCTGGTGCCACGGCGCGACTCCGACTGTCGAGGCAGGCCTTTGCCTCGTCTGATTTCACGGGCTGCGGACTGCTGCCAATACGGGGTTCGCCAGTCGATACAGCGTTCAGCCAACAACTAGGTGCAGCTTATCAAGATCTGATTCGGTCAGCTCATCTTCGATAGGCCCGATCATGATTCCCGATGAAACTAGCGAGTTTTTCCAGCGGCACCGAAACCACTGATGAGCGATTGCGGATTATTCCGCTCTGTGAGGTATTCTTTGAAGACCCTTGTCTAATGAAGGATTCTGCCTTCGTCGAAACGCTCTGAGAATCTCCAGTACGTCGTTTCGATTCCGAGTTTCTTCGAGGGGGTCCCGGAGCGCTCATACATATATATTCATCGCGATGGGAGATTACCCTTCGGAGACAACTTGTTTGTTGGCGAAGCGCCGTAATTCAAGATTAGCTCGGGTTTCGAGAACGGAAATTCTCCCACGGTAGAGAGATCATGCACTGACTCGTTATGGATTTCGTTCCGGAGAGAGACTCGACTAAGACGACGGCCACCTCAATATCTCGGCATGCGGCGCGTTTTGTATAGGTCTTCCGGGAGAAAACCTTCCTGCGGAAAATGATCGCTCCCAGATGGATAGTAGGGATAGGGATCATCGACGCGGGGATAAGTCTACGCATATTGTCATGGACATCGACTCGTTCCATTGGAATAGTGGGCTGGGTTCCAGTCCGCGTCGGAGAAAATGGAAGAGCGGCGCATTGTTACTGAGAAAAAAACGGGAGAGAAGCTCCGGTACATCTTCCTCTCCCCACATCCGTTCGATTTTCATGGTTTGCCTCTTACTACTGCTTTGAGCAGCGCACATTTTGCGTTTCAATCTGAATAAATTGCTCGAGATCATCGCATATCGTTTATAAGCGTACGACACCATGGAGGATGGTGGTACAAGCGAAGATGATTAGGAGATGTAGAAGCTCCCAAATTACGGCCATAATATACTACGCTTTATTCTTCGACTCCGAACTCTTCATCACGAGCGCGTAGAGGCGCTCTTCCGAATGGAAAAACGTCTTTCGGTGCAGCCATGGCGTATCTCTCAATCGAATGGACAAGAGTCGTTCTGCGGCGTCGTTCCAGAATTTGAGCGTTTGTGAGGCTAGGACGATCGTTACTACGATGACGGAATTCGAGAATCGTAGAGAGCGAAGATATACTCGGTATTCGAAGAGAATAAAGATATCGCTGATCGGGGTGAACGGCGGAGCAGAAACGCGCCATGGACGGAACCTGTGAGTCGGCGGCTGCCGAGATTTGTGGCTCGTTTCAGCGTGAGCAGAAAGTTCCAGCACCTTTCGACTATTGTTACGCCGCAATCGCTGCGGGATTCTTACGCAGAGCGAGCCCAAAGTGAAAAATAATTTTTCGACGCCGGCTCGACGTAGAGGCTTTCACAGTTCTGGCTGATTAAATTATCACCAGATGAGCTCATCGCTAGCTGCCCCAAGATGGATTGTCCTGGAAGGCAGATGTTCGGGGGGAAGGAGAGAGTCCAAGTGTTTCGCGAGGGAATAACAATCGAGGAGTTTCTCGGTCGCTTGTGTTTGGGCCGACTGACTGACTGAATTATTCACCTGTTCTCGGTCACCCATTCATTTGCTTGATTCATTAAATATTTCATCAGCTGACGCCTTAAGTGATCGAAGGCCTTCGTTCTAAGTGTTCGCGTCGCAGATTGATAAGCAGCTTATTGGAAAGCCACTGCTTATTATCCCTCTCTGTCGTACTACGGGTCGAGCATATACTCACATTTTGATGCTCCCGTTGTGGGTTCCAATGGCAATAAGTCTTTGGATAGGATCGTAAGCCACTGCAGAAGGATTGTGCGGAAATCCATGTCTCGAAGTCTGAAAATGAGGAGTGTCGTTTGTTTATCGCACGTTGGGGAGTCATTGAGTCACACGCCATCTAGGGGGTAGTCTAGCCGGCGATGCGGGCGCGGAGCGAGCTCGCCGCACTCAGGCAGACCTCTAAAGGCTGATTCGAGACTCCGAAGCCGCCAAAAGTTACAGGAAGTTCTACGCGATCCGATCGATCGAGTCGAAACGAGTATCGTGAAGTTCGAGTATGGGAGGGGGCCTAATATGTACCTAGTCTCGTTTTCTCGGAACGTCCCCGTCGAGCTCGGAGTCCTGATGCAAAAGTTTCCCGATTGTCAGATACGTGTTCGTATCTGCTTGTTTACATAATGGAGCTGACGGGTAGGCGCTCCAAGGGCGGAAAACTATATGGTTAAAAGATATACGTTGAATATGGAGCTGGATCCTGAATAAACCCTTGGAGTTTCTGAATTATCGCACGAGCCCATAGACGGACAAATCATCTGCTCGCTCTGAATCCCTCTGAAGTGGAGTCGCTCCCGCGGTGGAGAATAACTCTGAGGTTCCGCGCGCTGCGATACTCGGGGAATCACAGAATTTGCACTGTTCCAACGGTTGGAGAGAACATGTACTCTTCAAGACGTATCCGGAGCTTTCATCGGGCGGATTCCTCACAGAATGGCTCATGAATGGGATAACAGATGCAGGGATCTGGTGCTCGGATATCAACCACTGAATTATTGCCCAAGTGATATTTCTCCTTCGCCATGAGCCTCCGAACAACGAGACGCAGATCGAGCTCGTGACAATCGATTCCACAGAGATATCTCTCCATCGTCTGAGGGCACATCGTCTCCGCCATAAACGTCGCCAAAGCGAAGGATTTAATCATCCAGTCTGAATTCATCTAGAAGCCATGAAGCTCTCGAGCAGCAGAATACACTGTCGAAATTTTCGTCAGGGAGAAAGATTCCAGAATATTACTGTCACGACTCCAACAAGGGGAGTTAGGCGACGAGAGAGCGTCACTTGTATTCAGCTCAACAAGGGCTGCTCGTCGATCCGACGGCGAGCGAGTTAGCCGTCGCGGTCGACACGAAAACGACAGTAAACCGTTGAGGTGGAAGCAGGTCGTAGAGAGCACCCACCCGCGATTTCACAACAATTACCTACTCTCTCGCAAGCACTATGATGGAGTCGGAGATTCTCGACCTTTTATTCGACGGAAGACAGCACGGGAGACCTGCGTACGGCGCTGATAAGAAGGATTGCATGGAACGACGATGTACAAGTTGTTCCAAAAAACGCGGCTTACGTCACCAAAGTGGGAGCAAACATTGGTTAAAGCGTTCCTGTCCCAGGATGAGGACGGGACTTTCTATCTCCTTCTCCAACAGTATGTCTCTCATGTCCCCTATCTAGAGCGTTAAGGAGATGGATGAGGGAGGGGACAATAGCGACAAGGACAACAATCACGTCCTCTGGGACGAGAGACAACAGACAAGTACCCACAAGAACAGCAGGGTCGGGCGAAGAGAAATATAGTAATCATCATGGAAATAGGAGAAAATTTCCCTAGGTGATTTAGTTAAGAGAGTTCATCGAGCATCTGCGACACTCAATCAAGAAAACGCCCCATGACGGGTAAATGTATAAACGGTTTGGCGACAGGACTGAGCGGGGACCAGAAAAAGAGGAGGTAAGCTAGCTAGCTAACGAGCCAGCCAGCCAACCAACCAGGGATTGAGTTCCTTTCCGAGTCAACAATATGCCGCAGAAACCTTCAAAGGACTGATACTGGGAAGCTGGCTCCTACCCGAGGCAGATACTCGGGAGTTGGGCTCGCGTGCCTTCAAAAACGGGAAGAAGCTCAGTTGGAATTAAATGAGGTGACTCTGTCGAGCCGCTCCGTTAGAATTCCCCTTCCATGATTCTCTTCACTCGGGGAACGCATCGGGACACCGAGGGGTCTGCTGTCGAGCTCGTGGGAGAGTCGAGAGCCTGCGGCTTGAACGACCGACCAGGTTATGATACCGGGTCGCCTGGTGAGAACGAGGGGGCCATGACCAAAGCAGCGGTAGTCGGGGGAGAGGAAGTATCTCGAGCCGGGAATTCCAACAGAAAGTTTGCACGCTAATGATAGGCAACTCTTATTAAGTGCCGAAGCATAAATGTCGCTGAGCTGACTGGCCGTGCGACTGGCTTGCCTGCAGCCTGGCTTGAAGCTGCGCGGGACGTAACGGGGAGACGGCCGCATCACTCCTCATCACGAGTCATTAGGTACACCGCGCACAAACTAACGCAAGCAATGCGAGCGACGAAAACCATGAGAAACTAACGGCGACAGCTTCCCTGCCACACGATGTAGGAGAAGGAAAAACATCGCCGCGTAGGGATTCACACGACAAGAAGACAGTTAGCTCCGAGCGAACAAGATAAGGGAGCGGCACTCAAGAAACAGGATACGGGACTCGGGACCCTAATTCTCTCGTTTAATGGCCGCGACGCCACTGGGCGCCCGCTAACCGCCTCCGCGCCTAGCGGTCAACGTCGACGGCGGAAGCTCTCGAGGACATCTTCGGGGGGTCCACCCCCTGATTCCACCAGACAATCGACGCGAGGGATTTTAGAAATGTGAATGGCGAAAACGTAGGGTCGAGCAACTTCCGTAATCTGACTTTTCCTAATATTCGGTCAACGCCATGATGATTATAATATGTTCCTTCAGGATGTGTTCGAATACAATCGCATGCAAGAAATGGAAGCTAGAGGCATGTACATATACCAAAAGACTCATGGAGAGATATTGACACCGCGCCGCAGGAAGAGAATTGTAAGTCGTACTTAAACTCAAGAACTCAATTTAGGACGAATTCCAATGAGAATGAATAAGAACTAAGGCACTCCCTGGTAGGACGTCACCGACAGTTGAGCGAGAATAATCGAATGGAGCTCGGCGAGGTTGAAGAAAATGACTCGTCGTCCCTGTTCCGACTGCTTCTATGAGGGAAAACTAAATAATCAGATATCATGTGAAATACCGTCGGCGAGATATAACGCTGAGAGAGGGAGTCAGGGGTATCTAGACTCGATAGAAACGGTTCCCGGCCGGCGGGTCGCGCGGTGGACGCAGAGAGCAGGATAAAATACACACGAACAGATAGACGCAATGCACGCAACAAGCAATAAACTCACTTTGGCCACGTTGAAAAGTTCTTTACGGAGTTTGTCTTCGGGGATGTCTTGCACTTCAGATGCAGTGCCCTTGGCGCCCGAGGGCAGCTGGGTGACCGAGGATCGCAGGTTGTCCAAGACTCCTTTGAAGAAGCCGGACCTCTTGGTGTCAGCGCGCTTCATTTCCTTCTTCTCCTTCTTCGATTCCTTGTCACTCATGGTTTAGCCGTGAGTTTTCCCTTTTCACGAGAATCAACACCGAATTCAGGCTCGGGGCCGGCAGCGTCACCAGGTCACTTATTCACTAACTCACTTATTCCCCTTGTCACCCCCGCAAGCTCACTCGTAAGTGTGCCAAACTCGATAGTCTCATGGACGGCAAAACCCACTCGTTGTCAACTCGCGTTGGGAGTTGTTTCGTTTGTCGTTGTTGTTGTTGTGGATCTCGTCGTCTTCGTCGTCGTCGATTCCGTATTCGCTGTAGCTGTTCCAGGGTGGAAGCTGATCTTTACGCGTCACGGTGAAGACTCGCAGCAGCAACCCACGACGGCAACCCCGAGCAGGGCGCCAACATTACGGCAGGAGGCCCAGACATGCGTGAGAGCGACACGATTCTCCAGTGTGTGGACGCTGGTCTGTTCGCGCGCGCGAACCCCGGCTATTCGAACGCGATTGCACGCGATCAACTGATTCTCCACTCGGATCGGAGTCACCAGCTGCCGACGTAGCAGCACGACCAGCGGTTCATCCGTGTCGAACTATGCGCTACGCACATCTGCGTTTTTTAGCGGTCGGGATCGCTGCACTAATTTTGACGGCGGAGACCGAATTCATCGATTTCTCCCACTACTGGTTGCTGCTGCTGACTGCGGATTATCTATCGGTTGACGACTCTTCCTCCAATGAGGGCTGTGGTTGCAGTTGTGGTGAGATTGACGATGATGATGATGATAATAAACAACAACACCAACAACAACAGGAGGAGAGACAACAAGATGATGAGAGGAACACTCCTGATCGGGCCGTAACAAAAAACAGAGACGCGTCGATATATCGGTGACCAGTCCACGAGCGAATGATGTGCGTTCGGGACACAGCGTTCTCAACGACGTCCACCACCTCTGGAACTTTTATTCCTTTGCAGGCTCACTGACTTGCTGGCTGACGAACTGACTGCTCGGTTGTTCGGCTCCCTCACAGGCTGGCTGGCGGGCGGGCGGACTGACTGGCAGCCCAGTAGCTCACTGTTGATGGTAAACTCACACGCACTCACTTTCACTCACTTGCCAAATCTCTTTTGAACTTGACAGCTACGGAAGCTTCGAGGTTTTATTTCTGAAGTCGACCCGCCAGGCGGCTCCAAGGCTCGCTATCTAAGCGCTCGGACACCCGGTCGGCGACAACGCAGCCTCGAAGAGGACCTGCTGATAACGCTTGCTGCCTCTATTTCTGCTGCTACCGCCACTAGCAGCAGCCCTCAATCCGACGAAACTGTCCGTTCACTACCTTGGGTCTCTCTTCTTCCGCACGTTGGTCTGACTCTCCGTCTGTGTATGCGTCTGGAATCAGAGTCGACGAATCGAGCGATCGACGGACCGTCCGACGACTCTCGGCTACGTCTAGCAGCGGGCGATCTTTCCCAACATCGACCAGACGATTGACCGATCGGACGGACGGACGAACGAGTGCGCCTGCCACCAAGGAGCGAACACCTCACAGACAGGCAGCGCGTAGCGAACAGTCACAAATGCTCACTGTCACTCGCGCTGGAGCACATTGTTGCAGTCGTTGTCGTCGCCGCTGTCGCCGATGATGATGAAATTGCTGCTCCGGGAGCAATGCTGGTTGTCGCGCTGCTGGTTGCGGTGGCCAGAAAGGCGTTACTGTTCCACGGGAATCAACCGCGCCAGCAGCAGCAGCAGCAATTGTCGTCGTCGTCTCTCATGCCTTTGTTGTACACGCTGCTGCTGCTGCCGTTGCTGCCATCGACGTCGACGACGTCGTTGTTGTTGTCCAGCTCCTCTTTATTGCTGATGCTGCTGCTGTTGTTGTCGTAGTGTTGTTGTGGCTGCTGCTGTTGCCAATGCTGTTGTCGTCGTCGCCGTTTTCGTCGTCTTTGTTGTTGGCTTTCTGCTTGTTTTCTTCCACCTCCTCCTCTTGGAGCTGCTTCCACTCCAGGGCTGCAGGAGCTCTTGTTTATGCTGCTGCTGCTGCTGCTGCCACTGTTGAAAGACGAAGACGGCTTCGTCGTCGACCAGGTGGAGCAGGGCCTTCAATTCGTTCGTGGTGGCTCGACTGGATACGACTTGCAGGCAGGCAGCAGGCTGCTCGGCTGGCTGGCGGCTGGCTGCCTGGCTGGAGCCCTGTTATAGAGCAAGCGAGCGAGCACCTTCGCACAGCCTCTGTGAGGGCGGAGAAAGCTGATGAGCGCGAGGGCGAATCCCCCCACTACGGCGGACGTCCACGTA